AATGCTAACGATGTTCTACTAAGAAGCTTTTATTATTTTGTTCAATAGAGCTGTGTACTATCATTGCTAAGGCTGAATTTAGAATTGTTTTCTTTACTCTCAATATGAAAATGCTTTTAATTAAAAATTTTAGGAGCAATAAAGATAGGAATAGCAAGGAAATAAAATAAATTAAGGTATTTCCAGTGATCCAATCGATTTCTCTTGAATGGTAACAGTTATCACTAATATTGAAAAACAGTTTTTAATTTCTATTTGCAACTAGGAACTTAAATTGGATAGATTTAGCTATTTGAAATTGGTTATAATAAAATATTACTGATAAAAATGTTAGGAATGGCCAAAAAGTGGAAAAAAAGGCAAGAAATAGGTTTTTTCCCTTGAAACAAGAACATTAAAAAATAAAAATTACAATTAACAATAAGAAAAATGCGCAATAAATAGCAAGATAGAACTAGCCGCATCGGCCACAAATCTGTAAAGTAATGTTTTTTTAAACTGTAAAATACTACTATTCGAACCATTTAAAAAAAATGTATAACCCTAGTTCCTTTGCACATATTAAGGGCTGAAATTTAAAGACAATGTGCTTCTAGTCAAACTTGTTAATAGACCTTGTAAATAACAATCCAAAAACAAGTATTTTCGATCCCCTATTTCGCCACTGTGTGCTCAGCCCAGCCCAGCGGGTGCACGGCAATTAAGTAGCTGTGGCCTAATTCAGTGGTTCCTCCTACCTCATGCCACTGTGGCGAATCTCCAAGTAGAAGCAAAAATAACTGTTGCTTTGATTAATATTTACAGGACCTGTAAACGAGTCAGAAGTGTAGAATTTTAATCGATAGTACAGTAACTGTTGATGAACAAAAGCGCTTTTGAAAAATTGTCCTATGTGGTTCCAAAACTGTTTTACATCAATTTTTCTTAAAGTCCTTTACTTTGCTTTATACAACGGATTGCACAGACTAAAAATTGAATTAATGCAAAATTTTTAGCATACGTTTAGTTTTACTAAAGAAACATCGTCTCTAAATTTTTAAGTAAGGAACCAGAGTTATAAATTTTTTTAAAAATGGCCAGATTAGCGGTATTTTGCAATTCGCAAAAAAAAAACTACTGAACCAATTTGGGACACAGCTCAATTTAGCTAGTTTTGCCAGACTTTTGATTGCGATTTTTTGTAATAACCTTTAGTTTTATCTTTCTATGAATGTTGTCGTTTTATGGGTAAAAAACCTGCTTAGGCCATTTTTACCATTTGTTTTGTCGTTTTCTGATATTTTCAGAGCTTACATTTTAAGATAATTAATTTTAAATATTAAAATCTGGCCAGTCCAATTTTTTATTTGCCAATAGGAATTTCTATAGGAAAAACCTTTATTCTATCACACTCATCAATGTATTGACATTCCTTTGTTTGCGTGCATTTGGATGGACGGAATCTTAAGAAATGGTAATGGTAATCATTGTACGTTAAATATTAAATAATATTGTCAGTATAAGTTGTTAGTTTTAGAATGGTGGCCGCCATATTAGCAGTTTGGAACTTTGGCTGTTCTGAAGTTGCCAGAACAGATGTCAAGCTATCATTATACACCCAATAACCTTGGAGCTGTCAAAAGTTGTAGTTATCATTAGTAAATTTACTATCAATAACCTACTGACTAAAAATAACAAATTTATGAGTTTTCGAACGTTGTGCAATTTATGATGAACAACATTTAATAAAAAATGTAGCACAGTCTTATTAGCCTGTTACTTTTCAATATTATCAAGCAGAATTTAGGAAAGGAAAGCTTAATCAGTAGTCTAGTTTAAGTTTTCGTACAGAAACAGTACATGGATAATGTGCAGGTTATCATTTATAAAAATTTTGCCAAATAGTTATGGAGCATTTCCATTTTGAAACATTGCCATAAAAAAAAAAATTTGAAGTAAAGGAGTGAGTTAATGACACAATTAACTTTTTAGTCCTGACTTTAATGTTGTACGAAAAAGGTCATATCATTATAAATCAGTATGTTAAGCTAATGCACTCTAAGATGTTTCATAGCATAATTTATCAGATTGAATATCTAAAAAAATTAAAGTTACATATAGTTTAGTAAATAAAGTAATCTCATTGGCTACTAGAAGCAAAAGAAATACCTGAGAGTATGTTTTTAATACTTTTTTAGCCAATAGTAATCTGAAACCCTTTTTTTAAATTTATCCAAATAAAACTTCTTAAGGTAATTGTTTCCTAAATCATATCAATTTTAACATTGGAGAAATGAAGCAAACACTACACAGCCCCATGATTTAAAAAAATGTGACTCACCGCATACTCTAAATAATTTAAAAACTACTAAAAACTACCTCAGACACTACAGAAACAGATATATTTTTTTGAGAATTTTTCACCACACAGTTTTAAAGTAATCAAAAAAGTGCTCTTGATTTGATTTTGGAAGATAACCAAGTAAGTATCGCAGATGGGGCAACATCACATTGTCACATGAATACAAGTAGATAGATGTTTATGTTTGTGTACGTATAAGTGTACGCAAAGGCATTCACATTTCTCTCTGATATTTTGAATACGGGATGATATTTGAACATAACCTTGTATATCTATAAATACGATTGATCTATATTTTCGGAAACAACTACTTTAACATTCATAGCGCTCGTCACTACGGATCCAAAAATAATATCAAAAAATTAAAAAAAATATCCACTTTACACTTACATGTATGAAATACAGGCCATTCTTACAACTTTGACTCAAATGTCATCAAAACATTATATCAACAACAAAACTATTATGGAAGGCTAATCAACAAGTTATTGCATACGGAAAAAAATTATCAACAAAATAAGTTACACTGATTAATTAAAGTCAAAGATTTAATTCATAAATTGTTATCATACGCATAAAGAATGTGTTAATTTGCTCCCGTACAATGACTTCACCTTGCAACCTGGCTGTTGTCGAGCGCTCGGGTGGGGCGCTTGGCTCGGAAACACTAAGCCTAAGCTGAAAGCGCAAGCCACGGATGTTAACCAGCTACACCGGGATAATATTATTAAACTTGGTTGCTTATACTTTAAATGTTACTACATTAAACCGCACGTTATTATAGTAACAGTTTGAGTTGCAACAATGATTGTATGAGCTCAACAACCATAATTGTATACCACACCTTAATGTTCACTGTTGATATGTAGCACTATTTAGCAAACATTTCATGTCATGAAAAATTTTATTGTAATTGGTATTTTAAGATAAACGAGATTCTCGTAAGAGTAGGCTTACTATTTGTTTCTTATCTCTCATCATATGTATTTATGATTACTTAAAACAATAGTTATACTCTAAAATACCAAATTTTAGAATTTATTATTTTAAAAATACTTATTAAAACCACACCTAATTAACATGGGTTCACTCATTCTAATGATAATTGCAGTATAACTTCATACTTGGGTATTCAAGCACCCACTGTCAGCTGGTGTTCTTTTGTCGTAAAATGCATAAAAATTGGGAGGTGTATGTTTTTACGTAAAATTAAGGAAGTTCCAGTGAGTAAGGATACCAACCCGCACGATGCGGAAGTGCGTGAAGCCCTTATTTGCTAAAAAAATCTTTGATACTTGGCATTACTGCTACCAGAAAAATATAGACTAACCTACGGAAATACGACGACTCGATCAACTATAAATAGAATACCTTAAAATTTTTTCCAGTTATCTATATTTTTCACGACGACATTTGAAAAATAAAGTTATAACCTACAATACGTATGTACTAATGATGACCAACACTTTCAATTGGAGTTGCAAATCATTAACCTTAGTCTACCTGCTGTAAGCGCTCTAGTTAAAGAGCGAGCTTTAAGCATATTTTTTTTCGAGAGTTTGTTCAGTTAAGGGTATAAAGAAGGATACCCTTAGATTCAGCATAATCTAAACTATTTAATGACACATGTTTAATGTGGTGATACTAGGGCGCTGAAACCTCCTTGAATGAAATTTGTTCGGACAGTTTAAAACTTTGAAATCTCATTAACAAAAAAAAATATTGGTTTTTATCGATATGTTGTTATTAAAAGACTTTATTAGCAAAGTATTTTTTGATTTGCTTCTCTATTTTTTAATAACGCAAAAACTTCAAATACGTTACTGCTAAAACATATTTGTTTGCTGCTGATAGTTATAAGATTATTATGAGAGCACGTTACCGTTATACAACTAACTTAATTGGAATCGTTGAACATAAAAATCTATGTATACATATATTTGTTTGGAACCAACTCTTAATTTTATTTGTATTCAAGCGCTTTGAAGTGGTGATACTCATAGTATCTTTTATTGGAACTGTTATCGTTTCTCACTTGTAAAATCTAAAACAACAAGAATTATGTCGTAGAAGTATAAACAGTACTAATAATGTTATGTATGCTTATAATATTATTTTTTATAAAAATATTTGCTATGAGTTGTGAGGTGTTTATTATAACACCATTATTTTAAGGAGATTAATTAGCTCTGTTAACTATTCCCTGCAAATGCCCAGATTAATCTTTTTATATTTTGGTGTTCAGAATGCAAGCTATAATTGTTCTTACATAAGCATTAGGAAACTAACAAACAATTTAAGTTTTTCTTTTTTTTTCTTTGAATGCTTCTTTTGGCAATTTGTTAGTGACTGTGAAGAAAGCACAGTAAGCTTGAGAGAATTAAAACTGTATACAAAACAAAAAATGTATGAAAAGTTGCTTATTTACTAGTCAATTTATGAGATATTATGCTTTTATGAATAAGAGCTTCTATGTTAGAAACACAGTTAAGATTGGGAATTTAATTAAATTTTATTAAACTGTAAGCCGTACCAGATAATACTGCATAAATACTAAATTTTACAGCACTTTTACGTATAAAATGATATTTTCATATATATTCCACCAATTGCAAGTTGTGACTTGAAAACAAAATTGTGAATAAAAAAAATAACTAACCTCGTTTGTAAACATGTTTCATTATTATCAGAGTTTTGCAATTCCAAGATGACCTTTTCATAATCATTAGGATCGCAGACAACGGTCACTCGTAAATGATTCTTTGCTGCAGATCTCAGTAAAGTTACGCCGCCTATGTCAATATTTTCTACAGCATCCTCAAGCGATACATTAGATTTGGATATGGTATCGATAAAAGGATAAAGATTACAAACAACAACATTAATATAACTAAAGTTATGGCTAACAAGATCTGCTTTGTCTGATTCAGTTAATCTGGCCAAAATACCTGAAAAGCGATTTAATTAGTTCAGTAATATTTTTATTTACTATGTGATAGTTGAAGTAAGACAGTATACAATTCAGTTGATTACGTTGAATTAGTTATGCTCTATAAAACACATCTTGTAACCAAAATTTTTAATTGTGTACTCCTTTAATAAAAACTAGCAAGGTTTGGATTTAATTAAAGAGTAATACTATTCTAAAATCCTACAAAAAAAACCTAATTTATTAATCTATTATAAAAAACTGCTAGAAATCAGTAGAAATATGCTTGTCAAACGCAAATAAAATTGAGTACCAATACGTGAGAGGCGGAGAATCGTAGCTCACAGCACGTTCGTCCTTAATAAGACATTAAAATCGCGTTTTCTTATTTATCTCCAGGCTCTCGTTCTTTCTCCCCCTTCAATACTGACTTCTTAGTCTGTCTTGCTCACATTTGGCATTGTTCACCCGATTGACATCCAAGATGAATAACAAGTCCGCTAATTAGCACGCATCATTAGAAAGGGAGTGTTGTGGCAGAGAGTAAAGGTACAACTACTGAGAAAGTTCAGTGGGCCTCGTCCAATCTGATACTTGCCCCTGTACTAAGTGATCTCGAGTTTGCTTAAGCTCGTCTTTTTTGCATAAACTCGCGTTTTTGTTCTTCCAAATTACTAAATCAAAGCCACCTACCACCTCGACATATACGTGCTGTGAGCACCCTTGGCAAATATCCGTACTCGTGGAACCGTGATACGAAGACGAGAAGGAGAACAGTGTGGACGCACGCCCTTACAGTTACACAATTACACCTACATATTCACATCTGCATACCAATTCAAAAAAAGTCGTTACTTTCTTCTATGTAAATTCAATTTGTATCGGCCATTTTTTCCTTTTATAGGGTTTTCCTGCAAGACTTTCCTCGTTTGAGCCACAAAATATATCTTTGTCAGTGGCTCATAAACTGTGCTTTTTATTTATTTTTCCTAACCCCAGCTTTTCCTACCCTCCATTGACTGACGTAAATGTTTTCGAAGATTAACTTCTATTTTTCATAGTAATTTAGTTTCATATGAGTTGTTAGATCATTGTATTTAAATTTAGTCATCAAAACACTTTTTGATTCGAAATGTTTCACCAACGCCCAAATGAAAACTTAATTAATAGTATATTAATTTTTCAATATTACCTCAAAAAACGAGGTTTTTTGTATTTTGCGGGACAACCACTGGATTAATTGGCGTTAACCGGAGCTTATATTTTTTGTGTTTTTTAACGCATTCTTTTTTTTTTCCTTTTTTTATTTTTAAGCTTATTGTTCGTTTCCGACGCTAAAAACCATGTTTTACCATTTTTGACACTTTTTTAAGCCTTAGCAGAAAACATTATTTGTATAATTGTATTAAAATTGATTGGTATTATTTCATTCTCTACAACATACTTTTTTTTGCGCTAGTCTAAATGTCATGAAAAATTACCCATATTTCAGCTAATTCGATCCTACTAAGCTGGCATTCCGTGTAAGCTACCAACTTCCAAACGTAAGAGAAAAAAATTTAGAACTAAAAAAACTAATAGCATCTGCTAAATAGAAAAAAAAATTTAATGAAACTGAAAAATTTGAACAACAAAAATCCCTTTAAAAAAATAGAAGTAAGGAAGCTCTTAACTGCTCAAAGAAAAATGATTAACAAAAAAGAGAAGTATAAAATCCGCTAAATAAATTAATAATAATAAAAAAAAGAAATAATAAAAGAGA